TGATTCAAGTTTAATTTGTCTTGATTAGGGTTGTCTAGCAATTGATTTTAAATCTTGTCATATACGCCTAATTACTAAACAATATAAGGAAATTCGGTAAAGTGCGGATATTAAAGTTCTACGCTATTACAACGCTTCGGAAATGGGGATACAAATTTACGAATGAGGACGAAGCAAAAGTCTAGTTAAACTATTTACAAACCGTAAGCAATTACAATAATCGAAAGAATACGAAAAATAGTAAACTACGAGCAAATGAAAAGAGAAAGAAAATTATTTTTTCAGTGTGTTTTGATAGAAAAGAAAGTAAAAATATAGAATAAAGATGTAATTAAAACGAAAGTTATTTAGACTAAATTAAAATTCTAAGAAACATTGAAATTCTAGATTTTACTAAATTAAATCTACGTTAAATTAATTCTAAAGCTATCCAAACTAACTTAAATCTAAAATAAGTTAATTTACTAATTTAAAGTTAGACTAAATTAATCTTAAGATTACTAATTAAAATCAAAATTCTAAAAGACTAAACTAAAATCATTAAATTAAACTAGACTAAACTAAAATTATCAAATTATCAAATTAAATCTAAACTAAAAGAAAAATTATAAAGTTATTAAAATAAATCTAAGCTAAACTAAAATTTTAAAATTATTAAATTAAATCTAAATTAAAAGAAAAAATTCTAAAGTTATTAAAATAAATCTAAATTAAACTAAAATTATTAAATTATTAAATTAAAATTAGACTAAATTAAAATATTAAAATAATTCTAACTAAGCTAAAATTTCTAATTTACTAAGTGAAATCTAAACTAAGTTAATTATAAAAATGAGGTGAACGGATAGGTAAGGTGGAATGATGGATTGAAGGGTTGTGTGTTGAAGGCAATGAAGGAAGATATTTTATTGAGATTTGTTTGAAATTGTTTTTGTATTGTGAGAGAGAGATGAAGAGGTTAGTGTGTGTGCTTTGTTTTAGGTGGGTAGATTGAAGAGAGGAGAGAGTTTATGTTGTGTGTAGAGAGGATTGAGTTTATGTTGTGTGTCCTTAAACAAGGAAAAGGATGAGGTTTATATAAAAAGGTGAAGAGGAAATGGGTTCTGTTTTTACAATTTTCTTTCACCATTTTTGCTATTAATCTTGCATTTTCTCTAACGACCAATCAAAACAAAGTTTAGTTTAACAAATATTTTTGAATGACTAAAAAGACCTCTAATGATAAAAAAAGACTTTAAAAAAATGAAAAAGCAAAAATTAATACAATTTAAAATATTTTTTTTATATTTTTTCTGAATAAAAAATAGAGACTCAAAATGATTAAAAACGATAAAAAAAATAGACAAAAATCTATTTGAAAAAATGAAATGAACACATTAAAATAAACTACCTGTCTCAAAGATTAATGAAAAAATATTCAAATGATCAAAATCGAAATAAAATAAGAATAAAAATATCAGGCTGAACAAACGTTTACGATTAAAAATGAGACTTCAAACTGTATTAAAAATATGAAGTGAGCATTCCGTCATAATCTACGCGAAACGCAGATTCATAAAATGATGAGTAAAAGGTGAAAATTTGAAATATTTTTCTCACTAATTTTCCGCATAGTACCGAATCGCTTTTAACAGTCTGTCTGTAAAACTGGAACATTAATATTATCGATATATAAACAACTTGGAGCAATGCAAGGAACAAGTAAAGAGATAAGAATGCATGAAGTGGAATATCAGGTATTTTTCAACTACAAAACGATGCAAACTTCGATTTAAACTGACTTTTGGTCAACTCAAATACGACTATTGATGCGAAATATGATGAATGAAGATATCTATTAATGATTATGGTCAAATAACAAAATATGATAAGATAATGCGACTAAAAAATTAGGAGCGAAATTTAGGGTGCAACAACTGTTCCTACTTAATTATCTTTTAGCCAGATAGGCAGAAAGTAATTAAATACAAACAGATCTGAATTTCGTCCTTGATGTGATGAGATGATATCATATGTTATGAATGAATGCATGGCCTCTTTTGTGACATATATTTTTGTACATGATATGATATAAATGCAAATAATACAGACATTATTTGGAGAAATGTGAAACAAAAGATTTGTGGTAGATTGAAAGAAATGACGTGGAAAGACACGCTAGGGAATACAAGGTATTCTGGATATCCGTCAGGGTGACAAGGAGTAACCAGAAATACTTGAGAAGAGGAGACAAACCCTGAAAAGGCAAGCAGCAACATCCAAGAAAGAGGCGAACAACTCTCTGGAATATACAGTCAGAAACATCTAGAAGAACAATAGATGTGGGATGAGACTAAATTTGAAGCTACATCAGAGTCGTCCAGGAAAGACGCTGGACGAAAAAGAAACACGACATCTAATATTGGCTTGGATGGCAAAATATCATGGCATCCAATATTGGCTTTGGAATATGATGAACGGGCTTAGGGTTTTGGTTTAGTGGCTTTGTCTCTGTATGTCTCTCTTTTCTCTTTGTGACAAAAATTTTGAAAGGGTTTTTTAAGATTTAATAATGTCAAATGGGAAACTTTTCATTTTTTGAATTTGATTCCAAATGGATGTTGAAATCTAAATGAAGAATGTAACTCGGTTTCTTGAAAGTGAATTTTAGATAACAAGTGAAGTTTTGAGATAAAAAAGAATTTCATGTTTGTAATTGAAAGAAACATATTTGAATTCATCAGCAAATGTGAACTTGCTCATTTGTACCAAGTCTAAAAACTCTTTTTTTTTCTAAACTTGAATTTAAAAATATTGATGTCCATTATGCAATTAAATCCAGACCTTTCTAAATTCCAAGCAAATATTTGAATGCTCACTTAAAATGGTGATGCTTTAGTGAACTATGAAGATGTTTGAGATTTGACATAAAGCTTCAGCAAATCTTCCATTATCAACAAATCCAAACCAAAAGATGAGAAAAACACCCTAATCTCAAGTTCGACTTCAGTTAACTTTCTTCACAAGCAAACAATGTATCATCAAAGAATCCTCAAATTCCACAACTTTTGTCATGAATCAAAATTTAACTCAAGATAAACTCAAATGTAAATCCTAATATTGTGCAACCATTGAACAATGAACTTTGGTGTCAGAAGTGGGATTAAAAGCCCTAGGAGTATGGAAGGATATTTTCGAATGAAGGGAGGAGGCAAATTTTGAGGTACAACACTATGTAATAAAACGAACAACCTATCGTCAAATGGGTATATACATTTTATATTAACAAAATAAAATTATGGAAATGAAACTAAGAGCAACATACACATGAATGTTAAGGAATATAATGCAACAAATTCTTAGTATCCATCAAGTGCAGGAGATATGGGATTGATGTCTGAAACAAAGAAATTCCAAATGAAAAAGATGTATGATAAGTTTAATAATGATACTCCAACGGTGACTTGGAGCAGGCTCTTTTATGGGAACATAGCTCGGCCCCGAGCGATCATGACCTAATGACTTACATGCCATGATAAACTTGCTACAAAAGAAAGGCTTCAAAGATTTGGATTGATTGACAACAATAAATGCATCTTTTGTGACAATGTGAAAACTAGAAATCACTTTTTTCTTTAAGTGTGTTACTATAAAAAATATTTGGATTCAAGTAATGGAGTGGATACAAAATACACATGCACCAGAGGAGTGGAACAAGGAGCTTCCATGGATTATGAAACAATGTAAAAGAAAGGATTGGAAAGCAAAACTTATGAAACTATGTCTAGGGCGTGTGAAGATTCAGGACTGACAATTTTTTTGAAAATACTATAAATAATATTTAAATTGGATACTTTATAATTGATAAAATAGTGTATAGAGGATGGTATAGTATGAAAATTAGGGAGTATATTGCTTGTCTAATGATGAATTAGTCGGATAGTTTTCTCTTTTGAGTTTTGTCCTCTTTAATGATTGGATCCATAGAATCACCTTGTATATTTTTGTTTTTAAATTAATCAAATTAGTTTATTTAAAAATAAATAATAATAATAATAAAAATAATAATAATAATAATAATAATAATAATAATAAAAATAATAATAATAATAATAATAATAATAATAATAATAATAATAATAATAATAATAATAATAATAATAATAATAATAATAATAATAATAATAATAATAATAATAATAATAATAATAATAATAATAATAATAATAATAATAATAATAATAATAATAATAATAATAATAATAATAATAATAATAATAATAATAATAATAATAATAATAATAATAATAATAATAATAATAATAATAATAATAATAATATTAATAATAATAATAATATTAATAATAATATTAATAATAATAATAATAATAATATTAATAATAATAATAATAATAATAATAATAATAATATTAATAATAATAATAATATTAATAATAATAATAATAATAATAATAATAATATTTAAAACTAACCTATACATTGAATCAAAGAAGACTCTAAATTTATGTAGAAAAGAAAAAAAAAAGGCTCTAAATCATGGTTTATCGGTTTTGAAGCGAGACGAAATTTTCATCGAACTTTCAAAATAACCAACCTATAATAAAAGTATGTTAAACCATATCAAAACAATGCATTACAGTAAAGGATTATAAAACCTTAAATTCAGTTAGATCATTTGATTTATTATGCTATATTGACATTTAGTTTCGGTAAAATTTTACTTCTAGATTCTCTTTACCACCAAAACCTAAAATATTTCAATAAAAAAGATCTGAAGATATATAAATGTGACACAAAATTTCTCTTTATTTCATCAATAATAAATGCAAGTCTAATGCAACAAAACCTTATTTTGGTTGTGATGCAGGTACATCAACTTGATTTCACAACTCACAAAACCAGACAAAAGAGTGACCAATTATTTTTGATATAAAAGTAAAATAAATAAAACGAAGCCCCTCATTGTAAAATTCTTACATGAGAGAATCCAAATCCATCTTTTAAGGGTAAACATAACCAGAAGATATATCCATTAGAAGTAATGCCGTATCAGCTACTTCCTCAGTAGTATCCTCGTAACCCGATTTTTTTCTCACCTTTAATAAGAAAAAATTAAGTCTCTCCGTCATCTCATCAGATGAGCTACTACCCGTAGTAGTCGTAGTAGCAGCAGTAGGTGAAGTTGAAGTATTCTTATTCTTCTTCTTGAATTGTGTACATTTGTTCACAACAAGTTTCTTTTCTTTTTCATTGTCAAGTCCTCTAATCTTTGTGGAAGTCACCCAACTACTTCCAGCTTCTGCCACAGCCCTTCTTGCCTTCCTTTGTCTAATTCCACAAGCATTGCAAAGTGACTGCACCAATAACATATTCATCTTAATTAACTATCAATCATATTAAAGTATACTAATTAGTACTTAATTAACTAAAACAATTGAAATGTGGAATAATATTTCATGAGTCTAGCCTTGAAATATTCAATTAATAAAAAACTTATATTAATATTAAAGTTAATATAATTTTATATATCAAAAACCGAGAAAAAATAGAGACGGTAAATAAAACTTATCTATTTTTTTATTAAAAATTATTTTTTATCAAACGAATCGAAACGACAATGACTGAATTTCAATAGATCAAACATTTTACCACTATTTGATAGTAAATGAAAGAGTAGTTAAAATAGATCAACTAATTACCTTAGGACCCTTAGGGCCACTCCTCCAAAGTGGGGTAGAGGTAGCTTGACACTCAACACAAACCCTAGCAGTAGGGCTTCCTTGGTTGTACATATCATTTTGAATTCCTCCATTTGATGGAGTTGTGGCATCACTAGCAGTTGTATTGATAATTGCTTTGTCTTCATTTGTGGCTGCACCATAACTGCTTTGTGGTATCATCAATATTTTCATCAACCTCATCTTTGAAGACTTCCATTTCTCTTCCAATGGATCATTTCTTTTGCTGCTATCTTCCACCTCCATGGATGATGATAAATTTGTGTCACGCGCAATGCTTTGATCAACCATAGCTGAATCACTCGATGAATTGTAGGGTTGTTGATGATTGGTTGATGATGATGATCCACCATAATGAGATACCAGCTTATGTTCCTAAAGTAATAAAATCAAAATAATACGCATTAGATCACAAGTAAGAGGCATACTTACATATCTAAAAATCATGATTAAAACCAGATAGATCATAGGCGTAATTATTTCATTATATATAAATAATTTATACGATCATGATCACTGATCATGATCATCGCGACTATGTAGATACATAGTATCCTAACCGAAAAAAACAATAAAAAGTACAGAGAATTAGTGATAATCTATGATAAAAAAAATTAAATTAAAAGGATCATGTAAAATATGATCTTGCCTTAGGATCATGATTTTCCTGAAACTGATCAAGAAAATTAAACAACACAGGACAGTCCTGTTTAACAGGAGAAACATCAAAGGATTGGTTTTGACCTTGTAGCAAGGACTTAGGACCTGGTGGATTCGGAGTTAGAGGAGTCATGGTTGGATATGAGAGAGAAACAGTGGACAGTACAAAGAGATAGGGTAGGAGAGAGAGAGAGAGAAGGAAAGAAAATAATGAGAAGGTGGTAGGGTTCTTATATGAGAGGCTAAAAAGAGAAGACTTGTCTCGAAGAGACATTCACGTGATTGCAATTCTCATTTTCGTAGACACAAATAAAAACAAAATGAACAAACGGACAAAACAAAAATACTCCAAACACACTACGATAATACAGACAACAATGCCCGATATGTTGTTTTTCATTCCTTAAGTTCATTTATATATACACTCATGACATGAATCTCACTCGTAAGTTAATATTTTTTTTAATTTTTATACTTTTTAGGTTTTTTTTTAATCATTTTTTATTTTATCATTATCGTAAGTCTAGAAGCAACGAATGCGAAACGTGGTGTGATTATTTTAATAGACAATAATTAATATATTTTTAGAAAAAATTAAAGATTACTACGGATTCTTGTTTTTCTTCTTATTGTTAAGATATTTTTGTTGCCAGAAAAAGTTGTTAATTAATTCATACCTTTGGTTGAATTCTCGTGTTAAATATTGGATTTTTTTTCTTATTATATTCTTTATTCCTATTTTGTTGGGTAACGTATTATACATTGAACACTTGTATATTTATTTTAATATATATCATATAGATAAAAAATAGTTTTAATATTTTTATAAAAAGTTGTTGAATTGTAAATTTTAATTTATAATTTTTCAAAATAAATAAATAAATAAATTTTAAGTTATAAATAATATTTTACCATAAATTGAATATTTGAAGAAATATATTATAAATTAAAAGTGAAATTTAAACTTTTATACATTGATCCAAATAAAAACTGTAAATTAATTAAAAGAAATAAAAAATTATTGAAAAATGAAAACTATTAAATGTATTTGGATTTTCTTTCTTACAAACGGCTCGGATTTGATTTTGAATTTATTTTTATAAAACTAAACAAAGTCAGATACATATATTTTAATAATGGGTTCTTAGTATATGTGATATAATTTTTTATATTTTAATTTTTAAATAATAGTTAGTTATTTTATTTTAATTTATACGTTTTAAAGATAAGCCGATCAATGTATTTCATAATCTTAATTCAGATAAACTATATATTATATTTTACGTCAATTTTTCGCTTTGTCTTTAAAATATTTATAATTACATAGTTTTTAGAATTGTAATTTAAATATTAAAAAAATATCTAAATCATATTTTGTTTAATTGAATAATATTAAGTTATAATTTTTTAATTGAGTTCAAATCAAATATGGTGTGATTTTATCTTTGATTAAAAAAAAATTTTTAAAATCGATTCAAATTAAACGAGCTCATTTTTTTGACAAAAAAGGGGCAAGATGCCCAAGAACAATATATTAATGTAAATAGATATAAAAATGAGGGGACTATAGACCAAGACCTCAAAGATTAGCGTAATTTAAAATTAGGCAAGATCCTATTATATTAACTTATAATAAATGTCTTCATAGGTTATAGTTCGGATACTCTATCTGTTATGGGCGAGGATGACGCAAATTTTGACTATGAAGATGTCCATATGAATGTACATACTTCAGGTACATTTTATAAGCAATTCACAGTCTGGAAAAAATAGTTTCATTAATATTTTTATCTTATTCTTTTTTGTTTACATTTAGGAGAGTATTATGATATAAGAGATTCATTCATTGAGTGTCAATACTGTGGTGCGAACATGTGGTATCAAGAGAGGAAGATCAAATCACGATATTATGTTAATCCTAAATCTTTGATGTGTTGCGGAGAAGGAAAGATTCAAATTCCTTTGTTAAAAACACTGCCACCTCTATTGCAAAATTTGTTGTTTGACCAAAACTCAAGTGAATCAAAACATTTTCAACAATAAATTCGTCTTTATAACATGATGTTCGCATTTATGTCTCCAGGAAATAAAATGGGAAATAGATTTAACAACGATAAAGGACCTTCAAATTATCGAATTCAGGGTCAATCGTGTCATCGTATCGGTAACATGTTACCATTGCCAGGTCAAAACCCCCGTTTTGCACAACTATATATATATATTTTATATCGAACATGAATTCAGACAAAGTTGATGGATCAGGTTTGTTCCTTTTAGTTCAATCTAATAATAATTCTTTGAATTGTACGACATTATAAATTATTCTATATGAAATTTATTTACACTGTAGGACAAAAAATGGAGTTTATGTTAGTACAGTGAGAAAACTATCTGAGATGTAATATGAATATAATGTTCATGCTTAGTATTTTAGATTTCCAAGGGATACACTTTCCAAAGAAAATGTTACTGACCTGAAAATACGTTTAATTTCTGAGCGAAGTACGAATAGAAGGATATATAACCAGCCAACTATTTGTGAAGTATCTGCTCTTATTGTTGGAGATGTTGATACTGCGGAGAAGAGATATATTATAATGCAGAAACAATGTGGAGAGCTTCAAAGAATAGATGAATATCATACATCATATTTGGGATTTCAATATCCACTTCTTTTCCCTTATGGTGAGGATGGTTACAGGCCTAATGTCAGGCATCAGAACAAAGGTTCTAACAATGGTACTAATTTGGACCCAACACATTTAGATGTTGTACCTGAAGATGTACCATGGGAGCAAGCAACAAAAAGGAATAGACTCGCCATTAGAGAGTGGTTCGCCTTTACGATCCAAGCAAGAAAGAACGAAGCACGGACAATTCTCAGATCATGTAGGCTTTTCCAACAAATTTTAGTTGATGGTTTCACCATGATGGAATCAGAGAGACTTCAATGGCTCATAAAGAATCAGTCGAAACTCATAGTTAGCAAATATCATTATCTCACTGATGCTAGAACAAATGGCCATACTCAAGGTTCAAATACAGGGAAGATGGTTGTGCTACCTTCGTCATATGTTGGTAGTCGCAGATACATGGGTCAGCTCTACTTTGATGGAATGGTGTTTGCAGTTATGTTAGTTTTCCTGATTTGTTCATCATGTTCACATGTAACCCAAACTGGCCTGAATTACAACGTGTACTCAGTTCTGTGAATCTAAAAGCAGTTGATCGTCCATACCTAATTTCAAGAGTCTTTAAATTGAAATTTGATGAATTATCATCTGATTTGACGAAAAAGAGTTTGATGGGGACAGTTCTTACATGTAAGTAATTTATCATAACATTGTACCAAATATAATACTATACATTCTTAATTGTTAGTTACTCTCAATTTGTATTCAACTAATTATTACACGTAACATGCAAATTGTGTAGTTATGTATACCATTGGATTTCAGAAGAGAGGCCTACCACATACTCACATATTAATTTTCCTACATCCATCCAATAAATATCCAACACCAAATGAGATTGATCAGATCATATCAGATGAAATACCAAACAAAGACACTGATGAAGACTTATATAACTTGGTTAAAACTCACATGATTTATGGTCCTTGCGGAAGTCAAAATCGGTCTTCACTGTGATGAAGGAAGGTAAGTGTTCTAAATACTTCCCTAAAGACTTCCGAAATGAAACGATTGTTGACCAAGATGGATATCCAGTTTATAGAAGAAGGGATCACGACCACACAATCATTAGGAATGAAATGGAGATCGATAATAGATTTTTTTGTTCCATACAACTCAAAGTTGTTACTGAAGTATAGAGCTCATATTAACATGGAATGGTGCAATCAAAGTACATCAATTAAATATTTGTTCAAGTACGCCAACAAAGGATATGATAGAATAATTGCTGCCATTGTCAAGAATCAAGATGGAACATTTGTTGAACATTAAAATATTAATGAGATCAAGAAGTACATTGATTGTAGGTATATTTCTATGAGTGAGGCATCTTGGAGAACTTACGCTTTCCCAAATCATGGAAGGAAACCAGTCGTAGAAAGACTTAATTTTTACTGTGAAGGTGAAAATTCTATTTTCTACACCGACATCGATCATATTACCATAGTTCTTGAGAAACTGAGTGTAACTGAGTCAATGTTTACCTCATGGTTTGAAGCTAATCAGAAGTATGAATAAGCACAACAACTAGCGTACAACAATTTTGTTTCAAAGTTTGTTTATGTTAAAAAGAAAAGAGAGTGGAAACCCTGCCAAAAGGGTTATACAATTGGAAGGATAATATGGGTTCCTCCAACTACCGGTGAATTGTACTATCTTAGAATGATTCTAACACATGTGAAAGGTCCACGTAGTTACGAGGAAATAAAGATTTTTCAATAACGTCAAATATGATACATACCAGGATGCATGTTTCATTATGGGGTTTATTGGCGATGATCGAGAATTCATCTATGCTATTAAAGAGACTTATCATTGGGGTTTTGGTCATTATTTGGGGTTACTTTTTGTTCATATGTTATTGTCAAGTAGCATAAACAGGCCAAGGAATGTTTGGAGTAAGACACGACATCTTTTGTCTGATGGGATTCTTTATTCTCAGCAAATTATTGCAAACAACAGAGGTAATAATTATATCATTAGATATTTCTTTGAGTTCTTATAATTCACAACGTTTCTTTAATTGTTACAATTTAGTAATAGTTTGTTTTAAAACAGTTTTATGGTTATCAGATCAAGAAATAATGAATTTAACATTGATTGAAATTGAAAAACTTCTTCAACGAAACCAGAAGAGTTTAAGTAACATTCCTAGAATTCCTAAACCACTGGGCTATTTGGTTGAGGAGATGGGAAACAAGCTTATTTGTGAAGAGCGAAACTACAATCAAGTTAAGCAACTTCAAGAATTCAACATGCTATATCAAAATCTGACAGGTCATAATAGTGTTAACATTGCCGATAATTTTAAACCTTGATTTTATTCCTTATAATCTTTATGTTAACAAAGAAACATATGAAATATTAGTTTTCAATTTTTTCTTCAATATTGTCTCACTATGTTGATTTCTATATTGATGTTAAATACATTATAGATGAG